CTCTGCCGGCGAGGTGGAGGGCAGCTCGTGATGGGTTGGGAGAGACGAGGTGGTGGAGCGAATGGCGGCGGGTCTTGCGACGGTGCTGAGGGAGGCGTCGCTGCCGTTGGAGCCCAAGCGACGGATGGTTGTTTGGGACTCATTGCGGTGGATGCTGATGGCCTGCTTGTCTGGATGTGACGATGGCACGGCAGGAGCAGCGGCGGGAGCAGCAGTGAGGCGAGACGCGGATGCAATGTCGATGGGGTCCAAAGCGTCGTCGGTGCGGCTGAGGCTGTCTGCGGTGGTGGGATCGGTGAGATCGGTGTTGGAGGAGCGTCTGCCGCTGGACTCGCTGTCGCTGCGTGCGGAATGATAGCTGAGGTCCGAAGTGCCGGATGCGGATGGGTGATGCTGATGCAGGGGCAGCGAATCGTGTGAGCTGGGAGGGATGGGAGACGAGAGTGGTGCGGGTATGGCTGCTGCCTCCAGTACTGATATCGCTGGTGCTGCGGCGGGAGGGTTGTTGGAAGCCGAGACGAAATCGGAAGCGCGGCTGGTGAAGTAGTCTGCAGCACTGTCATCCTCCTCGACGGTGGACATGGGAGACTGTGCCATGATCTTTGTGAACCAAGGATGTTGGAGGATCTGGTGTATGCTTGGCCGCTGGGCGGGATCCTGCTGGAGGATGCTGGTGATGAGGCTGCGAGCCTCTTCGGAGAGGCAGTCTGGGATCTCGAGGTCGCCTTGGAGGATCTTTTGCTTCATGACGGATTCGTCGTCATCGTCAAAGGGCAAGGCGCCGCATAGGAGGGCGTAGAGGATGACGCCGAGGGACCAAATGTCGACCTGTTCGCCCGTATACTTTTTGCCGGCGAGCATTTCGGGCGATGCGTAACCGGTGGTGCCGCAAAAGGTGTGCATGAGGCGATTGCGTTCGAATTCGCGGGTGAAGCCAAAGTCGCCGAGTTTGACGTTGCATCGCTCGTCGAGCAGGATGTTTTCAAGCTTGAGATCGCGATGGACGATGCCCTTGGAGTGTACGTAGGCTACGGCGAGGCAGAGCTGTCCGAAGATCCTGCGAGCCTCTGGTTCTGGGAGGGACTCGTTCTCTACGAGGTAGTCGTAGAGCTCGCCGCCTGCGCATAGTTCGCTGACCATCCATATGTACTGTTCTGTTGCGATGACCTCGTACAGCTGCATGACGTTGGGATGGTGGAGACGGCGATGGTGATGGATCTCGCGGGTGAGGCTGGCGGAGTGGGCCTTGGGGATCTGCTTGATGGCGACGCGGGTATTGGTGAGGCGGTGGTGTGCGAGGCGCACCTTGCCAAAGGTGCCTTCGCCGATGGGACGCTGGAGGGTATAGTTGCCGACGATCTTTAGTTTGGAGGAGGAGAGCTCCTTGCCGAGTTCTTGGTAGGCGGAAGCAAGCGCCGCCTTCTGGTTGATGGTGGAAGCGCCAGCGGCGCTGCTGGTGGAGGCGGCGGCGCCGTGGTGGCCTCCATAGGGATAGCCCCTCTGGCTGGCAAAGTGGCTCATTGGTGATGGATCAGGAAGTGGTGACGGTTGGCATGGAGGTGGGGGATGCGGATGAGCGCCTGTAGAGCGGCATGATCCCGTGGCGAGACGAATGGCGATGACGAAGAGTTGCGTATGGTGGGATCCAATGCGGTCGATTCGGAAAGCGATGTCGAGGGTGGGTATAGGATAGGATGAGATGGACGACGGGACGAGGGATGCAGGGTGGAATCCGACCAACGAAATGGCGGATGTCTCGGATCGGGGGCGACCAAGGAAAGGCTGCTTTGGCCTCCGACTGCTGACGGGGTCCAACACGGCTGAAGCGCCTTTGCTTGCCATCGGCCACCTGCCATCTGCACTTTGCCTGATGCAACCGCGCGCTTTGACTGGCGACGTGGGCACATGGCCACTTTGCCATAATTTTGGAGCTGCATCACATCGGCTCTCTCTCTCTCTATCTCGCCCTCAGGGCAGCAGCACGCAGCAACACGCTGGCGAGCGCGTCGCGGAAAACGGCGCCGTTAGGACCTCTGCCTTTGCCTTGCCTGTATGTCTGCTGGCCATCCATAGGCAGTGGGTTCGTGCCTGCTGCGTACTGAACCGCCTCACAATGGCCACACGCAGGCCGATCCAGACCGAGCCACGATGAGACGACGCCGGCAGGCCAATTGAACGGCTGACAAGGCTCGTGTCGGGATCGCGGAGTGCCGAACCAGATCGCCGCCTATTTTTGGCGTTTGGCGCTCCAACTCGGGCCGACCCGATCGCTACCCGTCGCATCTCGAGAGCTGCAATCGGATCGGGCCCACCAACAAGGCTCATTTGAAGCATAGATGCTGGCAGCGAGACAGGATGGGATGAGATTGCAAGCGAAAGCCGACATCGGCCTGCGCTTCTAATGTACAGATCGCGACTCCGCTTCACAGACCGCCTTGGAGAATCCTCTGCGCGACTCGCTCCTTGAGACTCGAGTAGGCGCTCATGATCGCTGTGAGGAGCAAGAAAGAGCACAGTGTCAGCAGTCATGTCGTAAAAGCGATGGTCAACCTCGCACTCACTCTGCTCGTTGATCTGGATCTCGTTGACGTCCGGTCGAGGTCGCGAGACGCGCGAGGCGATCGTCGTGCTGTCCGTCTCGAGGATGATGCCGTCGTCGACCGTCTCGTCGAGCGCGAGCGTCACCAGATCCAGGTTCTCCAGGATGGCACGCTTCTCCACCTGGTGTCGCACCAGCATGCTCGTCGCATCGTAGAACGCGCTCAGCAGCCCCGACAGCATCAGCTCGTTCTCCGCAGCCGGGCCCACAACGTAAAAGATGACGTCGAGCGACGACTTGAACAGCACCAGATGCGAGTCGTACAGGATAATGTCACCCGTCGCACGCTTCGTCTTGTCAAAGATGGCCTTCTCGAACGCTCGCTGCTCCTTGAGCGTCGCAAGCGTATTCTTGGCGCACAGCTGCGGCGTCGTCGCCGTCACGGCATTTTGCTGCGCCGGTGTCGCCGTCGACAAAAAGTTGGCCGCGTGCGGTGGCTGGTAGTACTTGGCGATCACGCGGTTGCCATCCGTGTCCAGGATCAGCACCGCCGACGTGGTGTACAGCGTCAGGTTGTTGAACGTCATCGCGGTCCTCCAGCGCGCTCCGTTGGTGTGATGGGATGTGGTCGAGGCGATCCAAGGTGCAAGTGTGCTCGGCAAGGTGTTGCTCTCGCCCACCGCTGGTCAGCACTCGCTTCCTGGCTTGAGCGCCCGCCTCCAGCGCATCGCCCTGTCTCGCACGAGTGGTCGACGCCACGCCCAGACCCTGCAGCTTTGATTTTCGGACATCGCAAGCTGGGGATCGGCGCGTTGCTGTGAATTTCGCTTCTCAGCGCGGAGTGCCGAGGACTCGAGACCCTGAAGCTCCGCTCAGCTCAGCTCAGCTCAGCTCAACTCAACTCAACGTTGGCAGAGCCTTCAATCCGATCCTCTCCCCTTCGTCCCCACCACACGCACCGGATCATCACATCGGATCCCTCCGTAGAGACCCGCCCCTCTACCACCTCTCCCGCTTCTTCGACTCTTGAGATGCGCGCGTTCATTGCCGGCTGGCTGCTCGTGCTCGCCGCCTCGGTGGTCACCTTGGCGAG